TTTGGGCTACTCAGTGATGGAAGCTGCACACAAGGCTTTCCCCTTCTCAGCCAGTTCGCATTGGCTTGGCACACTGACAGGCAAACGGGGCCTCCTGCAGACAGAGAGGCTGTTTGCATGTGGCTCTGAGTCCATACAGCCACCCTGTGACCCTCAGATGGGTAACTCCTATTAGACCCCAAAGAGCTGGCCTTTAGGAACTCATTTGGAACAAGTGAAACCATAAGCTGAAAGGCTCAGGTGCTGGTGCATCCTGGATTTCTACTGCAAATTTGGAAAGAGATGCCAGTTAGAAAACACACCTCCATTCATTTTTTCTGATGACCAGGGTAACATAGGGAAAGAAAAGCAGTTTAGCTTTTCCTAAATTATATTCCTTTTTGCAGGACTCTCTGTCTCGTGCTGTTCTTACTGAAAGTAATAGCATAATTACCATTAAATTAAAAGGGATCAAGAGGAGGCTTTCATCCCCTTCAGGAATGCAGAGCAAAGTGAAGCTTCTAATGCCAGCACTTAACCTCCCAATTTCAATTGCCACTTTGGAGTGCTGGAGCAGGTCCTCCCTGTTTAAGGAAGGGAGCAGCTTTCCATTTGTAGATGGACAAAGAGGGATGGCTGCTTTCTTGTCAGTTTGTTTTAATTACTTTTAAGTGCTTATTCTGATCTCTTTCTTCAGTTTTACAATATTAAAGTCTACAGTATGAAGCTCAATACTTCCTGGGAGAAAGAGCTTTAATTCTAACTCACAATAATAAGAGTAATAAGAACAATAGGTTTTAATAAAGTCAAGCTTATCTGTTATTTCCATCTGCCTTGCAGCCAGAGCATCCCTTTTTTTGCAAACCACCACGCTGAGAATTTTGGCTTTGCTACACTTACCTTTGATTTCACAAATGATTGACATGTTTTCCTGCAAAGCAGTAGTTTGCCAGTTTAGTAAGTAGGACCATCATAGTTTCAGTTGTAATTTCCCCTTCCATGGGTCTTTGACTTACCTTCCTTCATTGTCTGTGCATGGATCACTTTAGAAGAGGAGTTAAAGCTGTTCTGATTTTCCAGGTGCAATTGTAACAGTTGTGACAGGATCTTTCACCATACAGTTTCAGTGTCCACACTGAATCACAAGTACTTGCCAAGAAGAATAAACTGTTAGGAAATTAAAGCATCTACACTTGTCACTGGCCTTGTGACCTGTATTGAAAACAAGATTGTGTCTTTATTGTAACTAAAGTTAAGTTTTTATGGTTTAGTTTAAGATTATCCCAGTATCTATAATTGTGTGCTGACTGACATACAAAATCTGAGCCAGATTTTCCAGAGGTGACATGATCCTCTCTATATATTTATCATATAAAAATAGGACTTCATGTTGCTATTCAAAAATATTTAATCTGTCTGATTTAATCTGGTTCTTTTCCTCTCTGGGCTGGACAGACTACATAGGTTCAAGCCCCAAGCACTGCAGCAATACAGCAGAATATGGGCTGATGCTGCATGCAGCCTGTGCAGTGAGGTTTCTGCTCCTTATACAGTCAAAACTGTTTGTGGCCTCATGTTGCCTTGTTTTGAGGCTCATCCAAAGGGTGCTCTATCTCTAAATACAAGAAGTCAGGACACAGTTTGATTTCTATGTGAAAATTTTGGGAGTAGAAAAGGAATTAATTGTAGAAAAGAAATTGTGTCAGTCAAAAATATCAGAGGAGAACTGCATGAGATTTTAAAGTACAACTTCCTTCATTATATTCTGTTTTAATTTATCTGCAAACTTAAAGAGAAAAGCAAACTTTGTATTTATAACCAAAACCAGAGGTAAGCATAACACAAAAAATCCCCAAATAAACAAAAACATACCGCAAAGAAAAAACCAAAACAAAAATACAACCGACCAACCAAACAAAATAAAACCCCACAACACTGCCTTACAAAGTCATAGTTGTGCTGATAATGGAGATGGAGAAAACTTCGGAAGTTAAAGACAGTTCTATCTCCTGAAACATAACTCATGTCATTGATTGCAACTCTTTGAGGAAATTCTTTGTTGTGAGGAAAGACATTGGTTTGAAGTCTCCAACAGAGACAGAGTGACTTTTACAGCTGGGAGAATTCCCATGCCCACAGATGGGATTTGGAAATATTCAGTTTCAATGGGATGAGTGTTTCAGGGATTGGGTTGTTTAAAATTATGTGAGGTTCACTTTCCAAACTTGGTTGCAATAAATGCTTTGAAATAAAATATTGTTTATTATTTGTCTTTAGAAACCAACCAAATTTACTACCAACAAAACCTGATGAAGATAAGAAGGAAGTTTAAGAGATGAGCAATGACATTATAATTGCAGGCTACTTTATACATGAAAGCCATTGCTTAATTCTTAAATGTAAACAGCAGATTATAACCAGATCACATTAATTTGTTGATGACAGTTGTTTTTCTTTATTGTGGAGCTGTGTTTCAAAATTTTAGTTTACAACCAAATTACTAATCTAACATTAGCATTCTGAAGATGACATTAAAAAGTTAATTGAACTTAAATCTAGTTGAGGTGAATTCAGCACCTGAGTCTGCAGACAACCCTTAAGAAATAACTCTGGTCCTGTTCATTCCACTGAGCTGTGTTAGCTCTGGCTGGTAAAGACTCTACTTTTGGTATGAGTACCTTAACCAAAATACCTCAATAATAAGCTGATAATGCACAAGTGTACTCCCTTTCTTAGTTTCAAAAGCCACTGCTACTCTCTAATCAGTTTCTAAAACCTTGACATTTTCTTCTGCATCTCTTATCTTCACTGGGTAAACTTTTACTTTACCTCTTGAAAGTGTCTATAAACGTGAAGTGTAGTGATAAGTGTGTACACAGGAAAGAAAAACAGGTCTCATTCCCAATCCAACCAAGCATGCATTGTTATGCTTTTCTTTTTAAAAATATACATCATTTATCAAAACTTCACCAGTGCGTCGGCTGTAAACTGGCCAGAGTATTTGGCTGTGTCCTGAGGAGGAGTAGATAGAGCCTGGATCCTAAATTGTTTTGAAATAGTCCTGCTGGGTTTGGTCTGCAGAGCTCATTTGCTTCGTTGAAGTCAGCTGTTTGTGCTTAATTAATGTATTTGGAACTTCTGAGGATGTTTTTGCTGCAAGGGTAACCTCAATGACTGTGCTTGCACTACTCCTTTCCAGGCAGTGTGTGGTGTGAGCACGATCCAGCTCACAGGGGAGTAACCCTTGAGTTTATCCATCCACACAAATATCCTGATCCTGCCCCTGTCCCAGAGAGACTGTGGGACTGGATGCTGCTGCAGCAGAAATCTGAATATATTGAGAATGTACAGTGACATAGTGGGCTTGTGAGAAAACTTCTCTGTCCTTTCAGAGCATCTAGGGAGAATGGTGTAGGGTCCCGAGTGGGCTGTATTGGTGGAGCAAAGCCTCACTGGTGAGCCCAGAGCTGTAATTTTGGAAATAACAGGCCTTGTGCGTACCCAAAATTTATGCTGGCTCAACTAATTGAAATTAAACAATAACTGTGTAAATACTGGAGTTTTTATACATGGATGGGATTTTGGTAAGAATATCGCTGTAATTCTAATATAACTGAGAAGGCTAAAGAACCCATCAACCCACCTTCCTTTGGTCAGGACTGAGCTCAGGGACAAGACCTGCCCTGCATTTGTTATCAAAGCTCCAATGAAGCAAGGTTAATATGTCAGTCTGGTTATGCCATGGGAAGGGGAATGGTTGAGAGGACTTCAGGAGAGTGTTCTTGCAGGGACTGGACAGGGATGGTTCAGCCAGGGGCAGGGGGGAATTTGTCAAGGGTACTGACTTCATAGCAGTGCTCTCTCCACCTGAGACAAGTGTGAAATATTCTCTGGCCACCCTTGGAATTTCAAGTGTGAAATAGTCTCCAGCCATCCTTGGTATTTCTAGAATGATTTACAGATCTGAAGTAGGGTCACAGCACAGCTAGTCCCAGTACAAGTTCTCCTGGAATCTTATTTAAGCAAAGTTTTCCACAGAAAATTTGGTTCTTATACTATCAAATACAATTTTAGGGAAACCAATTAAAAAAGAATTAGTTAATTTCAAATATTCTCCTCCTGCCTGTTTTTCTTGATTTTTTTCCTCTCAGTTTTGTTCAGTTTGTAGAATCATTTTTTTTTCTCTCATGCAGTAGTTTAATACTTTGTATCCCTCTGCCTGGAAGACCTTTACAACAGTTCTAGCTTTGGAACTTCAGTCACACAGGTATTAAACCAATGGCAATGATAGAGCTTATCCTGTTCAGCTGTAAATCTTTAATCTGACTTTAGAGAGCAAGTGCTACACATGGTACAACATGGAACTGGGACAGTTCATGATGCCCAGAAAAGAATGAGTAGGTTATTCCCATGGGCACAGGTTTTGTTTTGTTGCTGTGGTCCTGTTATTGAGATGTGTGTGCACGCAACAAAACCTCCCTTTTTCCTGCACACAATCCACGTGTCATTAAGCCAGTGCATAGTGTTAGGCTCAGATGGGACATTTCCATGTGCAGCATTTCAGTATTTCGTGTAGGAGACTTTTTTTCCTAAAAAATTCATTTTTAGGAGGTGTTGGTTGTTAAAAAGGCGCACCACACAGAGATGTTGAGGTGCTTGATTAAGTAGGTTTACTGTTGTCTAAGAAAAGCAAGGAATCGGTTTAAATGGTGGTAAAGTATTGTGCAATTTTACTTTTAACATGAGATTGTAAAATGAAGGTTACCAGGTTCAGGAGACATGAGCTTCTGGTTTGTTTTTAATTATCAAAGCAGTTGAAAGAAATATGACAAGTATTCATTAATTTAGTTCAGCATAATTACTCAGTGTTGGGTTAAAACTTCTGTTCCTGTGGCTTCTGGAGCTGCGTGTTGCAGTCTGTATCATTTCATTAATGTGGTATCCTAGCGAGCATGTTTCCTATTTTGCTCCCATGGGTGAGATTTAGAGGTATGATGGAGCACTGTTTTGACTTCTCACAGGATGAGCTGGATGAACTTCGGGCTGAAATGGAAGAAATGCGTGACAGCTATTTAGAGGAAGATGTTTACCAGCTGCAGGAACTCCGGCGAGAGCTGGACCGGGCAAACAAGAATTGCCGCATTCTGCAATATCGTCTCAGGAAAGCTGAACAGAAAAGCTTGAAAGTTGCACAAACAGGCCATGTGGATGGAGAGCTCATTAGGAGCCTGGAACAAGATTTAAAGGTGGGTTGAGAGATTCATATTCACAGCAAAAGAGAGCAGACTGTGATGTGGCTCTCTGCAGTGGAAGTGAGGGTGACACATGAAACAAGCAGTAGTTCTCCAAACGTCACAACCAATTTCCTTCTGCTGTGGTGGAGAACAAATATTCAGCTCATTGCCATAAAAAGATGTGTCAGTGAGTAGAAAAACATGTGTTCAGATTCAAAATGAAAGAAATACAGTCAAGTTGCATTTCTGCATTTGAAAGATTTAAAGGGTCTTGATTTACTGGTTTTACTGAAAACCTTAGCTTTGCAATACTGTGTAAACAAAACCTGATATGCTTTTCCCAATTCATGCTGTTTCCTTCCTTTTCACTTCTTGCTTATGCAAAGTAACTGGGAAAAAATAGTCTAAGTTGCATTTCTTAGTGTCTAGTGAGTTACTTGTAACAGGAACAGTGTTATAATATTTTTGCAGGGCAGATAGAGAATCAAAATGCTCATTCCCTACAAACACAAATACCTGTCAAAATTATATTCATACTGAAACAGTTTTTGTATCTTTCAGGAATGCTTCCATCAAGACCAAGTAAATCTTTGTGTGGACATGATGTTTATCTAACTTTACTCCTCTTTCTTGGTATTGCTATCTTGTAGCTGTTTTTAAAATATCTTCTGTAGAGAGGGACTGCTTGCAACTAAAATGATTAAGAATATTGTTCTTAAAAATGCAAAACATAAAACCTTCTGAAACCAGAATGATTTGTTGTCAGCAGTGGAAATGAGAGTAACATATCAAGTCATCAAACCTTTTAAACTGTCAGATCTAATTTTTTCTGTTATGATGGAAACCTAATTATAACCTTATAACAATAGCAATGATACATTACTCAGTAAAAATCGTGTGCCTAGATTTCAACGAAAGAGATATTGAGTGTTTTTATTACTGACTTCTTGTAATTCCATAATTCTTTGTGTTGTATGATATATCACCTTTACAAATGTTTTTGGGGTAAATATCTATTCTTCTTAGGCTGGGCTCAGAAAACCTAAGCTAGCATATATTTCTGTGCTTTCATATCACTCTTGCCTAGTTGTGATTGCTGCTAGAGCAGCAAGTTTATGTGGCTGTGACTGCTGCACACGCTGCTTTGATCGATGGCCCATCAGCTTTACAGCACAATTCCTTGTCTTTGCCTTTATCTGTGTGATGTGCTGGGACTTTGATGGGCAGCTTTGGTGTGTGCTTGTTTCCTCCTGCTGCTCATGACATTGCCTTAGCATAATGTGGAGAGGGAGCTGGAGATGGGTAATCAAATATATTTTCATTCTGGATTCCTTTATTAGAAATGAATATTCATTTTGGTACTTGGAAGGCTTGGAGTGTTCCATCAACAGTGTCATAATTGAATTAAAAATCTCTTGGCTGTCTAGGGCTGTGATATGCTCCTTACTGTAGGAGACATACCATAGGTGTTGCTGCTCATGGATGATCTTCATGCATTTGTGCTCTTTTGATCAGGTAGCCAAAGATGTTTCTGTCAGACTGCACCATGAACTGGAGAGTGTGGAGGAGAAACGAGTTAAAGCAGAAGATGAAAATGAAGTCCTTCGGCAGCAAATCATTGAGGTGGAAGTATCCAAGCAGACTCTGCAAAATGAGCTGGACAAGTTAAAAGAGGTAAGCAATTGTCAGAAAAACCACGCAGAGCATGGGGTTAGAATGGAAATTTTGCAAAGACGTGTCTTAGATTGATTTTTACATGAAATGCTTGCTCATATTGCTTGTACAATTGCCCCAAAGGTCTCTCCATGTCCCAGATAAGTCATCGGTAATTTAGAATCAATAGAGATGTAGATGAGTGATGCTCCACTTTTTGTCTGGGGCTTCTCACAGGGCTTCTGTCCCATTTTAAACTGTCTCCTTAAGAACTCTCTTCCTGCTGGAGCAAAACCCTTTCTGATTTGACTCCAGCTAGCTCTGGCTGTTCTTTACACAGACTGGGACTTCCACCTACTTGAAAGTCAAATGAAGTGTGCATGACTTGTCTCTGAGAGCAGGGTTCAGATAGGCAAGCTGCTGTTTTGGCTGGTACTCCTCAGTGGTGGTGGTGGAGCTATCAGCATGAGCTGGGCAGCCGGAGTGTGGTCTGTAAAGTATAAATAACATTGCACTTCAGACACAGAAATGCTGTCTCTTGAGAAAAGGGATCATTTCAACTGGTGCTGACACAGAGTCATACTGGGGGAAGTGATGATCCTTGGAAGCAAGTGAGCTGAGGAGCAGGGGACCATAAAGGGAAGCCAAATACTAAGCACAGCTCTTTGCTGGAGCCTACATCCCAATCTGCAGTGGTATTTCTGTTCCCTTAACAGTACAGCAGATTGGCAGTTCACAGCCCCTGCTCTGTTTTAAACCAGATTGAGATAGAGCATTTAAAAGTAATGAGCTAAGACATTTATCCTCTGAGCCCTGGTCAGATTTAGAGAGCTGGTGCAATTATGTGTTATTTTAATCTTTCCAACATTACTTGTGAGTCAACTGGCACAAATCCTGGCTCAGTTTTATAAGGACAGCCCCTGTTTAATTTCTCTGTGTGTTTGAGTTATGAGTAGTCCAGTGCAGGAGATTTGGAGTGTTTGTACCTAAGAGAACAGATCATCAGCTGGTACACAAATCAGTGTGGCTTAGATTACTTGTGAACCTGACACAAAAGATAAAGTCTGCATGATGTTTTAGCTATTCTTCTCCTTTCTCAATGTTATTTGTGAATGCTGTGCTAAGTGCACATGATACCATGTTACAGGGTCTGCAGTCTCTGCTCTGTAAAAATATGCCATCTCATCAACAGTACCTAATTTATTGCTTGTTGTTGATTAACATGCAGGCCCACTGGGTACTGCTTGATAATCTTGGGGTTCAAGCAGAAACTAAATTGTGGGTGAGAAGTGAGGGAAAAAATGGTCCAGCAGTGCTGAAGGCTCAAGCTAGCTCTAACCAGGCTGAATTTACCTTGCTGCTTAGATTGCTGCAGCCTAGCTGTGCTGGGAAGCGCTGCTAAGTCAGCTGTCTCTCTGCTGGATTGCAAGATGAGGTGAATGCACCCTTACTTTGTATGCATTCCTTGCCCGTAAGGGGCAAAAGCTGAAGGGGAGCTAGGGAAAGGGAGAGATAGCAGGTAGAATGATGGGATGCATTAATGCTGATCTGGAGATAAAGCAGGGCATAAGAGGGATCATGAGATGTAGTAGTAGTAGTAGTAGTAGTAGAGACAGTCTGGTTTTGCATGCCATGAGTTGTGGTTTCTCTGGCAGTCACAATTTCACAAGGTCACTGGAGGTGAGAAGATGAGGTTGGAGTCCTTGGCAGGTCACACAAGGACAGATGAGCCAAAAGCTGGAGAAAAACAGCTACGCATGTGTCACATAAGTGTGTTTGCAGTGTTGTTGACATTGCTAAAAAAATATATATTCTTCATTCAAGATGTGTTCAAATAACTACCAGAAGTGGCACCTCCTTAGGAACATTTAATGTGTGCAGGGAATGTATTATAGACGTGCCAGTGGGAAAGCTGGTTCTTTATATATCAGGACAAAAGTGAGCCCAAAGCCATGTAGCTTCTTCCCAGTCCACCCTGACTCTGCATCTTGTCTATCTAAGGGCTGACAGTTACAAGGAGCGTTTTCCTATGTGGTCCTGGAGCGTTGCCTGAGACTCAGTCAGACAGTGTTCACTCTGATATAGCTTCCTGCAACCATATGCTCATTCTCTTGATATCCTTGACTGTTCTCTATCACTGGATCAACAGAACAGCTTTCTCCCATCTATGTTCGTATTTATTGCTTAATTCAGTGCTCGCTTCTGCTTTGGCGTGCCGTGCAATTCCCTCGGCTCCCATTTCTCACTGCAGTAGATGGCATATATGTTGATTATCTTTAATGTATTTTGCATGCTGAAATACCTTTAGGAATTGTACATGTCTCTGAAAGCACTCTTTCTTTAAAGCCACCTTTGGTGTTTATCATAATCTTTTGAAGAATTTCTAACATTTATTATGTTTAGTGCTGGTGTTTCTTTTTTTTTTTTGGTTTTGTTTTGTTTTTTTTATTTTTTTTGTTTGTTTGTTTTTTTTTTTTACCAATACCTGTTTTGATCTCCTGTGATATTTTCCACAGGACTGTTTGGGTATATGGGCTTGTTCTATCTGAATAAAATGTTTATTTCCTTAAGAAAGAAACCTTACAGTTTTAACTGGCAAATTTTTTTGCCTCCTACTGACCATGTAATTTCAAGTTATTTTATTAAGTACATATGAGAGGGAATTTCCTCTCTTGTCACTAAAAAATATTTCTCAATGTGTCTTACTGTGAAAATAATCCTTCACGGTCCTCTCCTCTCCTCTCCTCTCCTCTCCTCTCTCCCTGTGATTGCTGCTAATGCACTTCCCTCCCCAGTCCCATGTGCTTCTGGATTCCCATTCCATGACACATTTTCAGAAGCTTTTGCATAATCTACCAAAACAGAATCTAAGCCCTTGTTCTGTTCTAGTATCTGCCAAATGCTCCCCATCAACAAAATATTCCAATTTTCACTGATTATTTCATTGTGGAACTCTCAGATAACTGGTGAGTCCCTTTTAGGTTTTTAGGATGCCACCTCCTTCTTTCCCTTGGTCTTTTTCTTTTTTTCCATAAATGTGCTCCATCCCACCAGCCTTTTGCTGCATTTCCTGTGTTTTGAGCTAAGATATGAGTTGATAAGAATATTTAATGAATGCTTGTGAATTTTGTCCAATTCCTATGTCTTCCAGTTAGACATTATTCTTCTCTGAATGTCTTCATCAGTATCCTGGCATTCACTTTGCTTACTCATGCCACTGTATTTCCTTTTTTGCTTTCAGTTCTCTTAGCCAAAAGATAATATAGTTCTTTCCTTTCCCATAATACTTCCTAATTTTTTTTGGATTTTACTCGTTTATCACTGATCATCATCTGCTACTCTTGCCTGAAATACTGTCACTGATTCTTTTGAAGATACTTCTTTCATTGGTTAATAATGTTTTCTCACTGAATGTTTTTTAACTTTACTGACTGCAGCAAGATTTTTTTTTGTGTCAGTCTTCTCTAGCTGCTGAAGCATTGTGGTTCATTAATCTTTTCCATGATTACACTCACCTACTTTTTCATTTTTCATTTTTCAAATCTCCCCTTTCTATCCTTTTTACTGTGAACATTTCAACTGGTTTTGCATTACCCTTTGATACCTTTTTCTGTGGCATTCTCCATCAGAGCTGCAGAGTTTTCCTACTGCTGTGAACACTTCTTTTTAACATCCTGGGATGTTTGTATCCCTTCTAGGAATTTGCTAGGATTTTCTGTGACTTAACAAAGCTGCTTCCTCCTTACAGCTTTGGAAGCAAAGGCAGTGTGCCCTCACAGATTTGATAAGAACACATATCCCTGCCAAGGCTTGCTTGCTTTTTCCTCGTGTCGTCTGGGTTATTAACATTGCCATTTAGTCAGCAGGCTGCCAGGACAGAAAAAAAATGACTCCATCACTAACAAATTACCTCAGCAACATCCCGGCAGCTGTCATTTCCCCCTTCCTAATATCCTAATGCACCTCATGAGAAATTTTGGTGTGTATTAAGAATTTTTCTCAATCAATCAACCAGAAAGCATTCAGAACACTTTTTTTTCCTCAAAGTTTACTTTCCTTTGCAGCAGTGCAAAGCCCTTACCAATTCTCTTCTGAGCATCTACAAATCAGAACTTCTCTCAAAGACTTGAAAATAGCAAGTGGATTTTCTTTGAAAACTCAACATCTCCACTCGACATCTAATTCACCCCAAACTTCATTTCTTTGGAGCCACCAGGGCATCTTGAAGGAACTTCTTCCTTATCCTTTCTCAGGAAAATATTTCACAAAAGGATGATCTGTTTTTAGTCTAAGTGTAAACAACTAGGAAATCATGCTTGGCAAGTGTTGGGTGCCTTTATGTACAGTGATCATTAATTCCCCTGCAAGCAGCACCTTTCAGAGTAATCCTGTCTCTGAAAGCTTCATACCTGGGGAAGAACAAACCATTTTTGCTACTTATTGAAGAAAAGCACTGAGATGGCACGGGACCAGCTCCTGTTCCCCCTGAGAAGAATGAGTTGGTTGGTTGCTTGTTTGCAGCTGCTAAACTTGTATTTTTCCCTTTGTCTGGGTTTGTTGTGGTGAGCCATGGTAGAGAACAAGGCAGAGCTGTGGCAGCACTGACACTGCTGGGGATGGGCAGCCCCGTCAGAGCAGACAAAGAGAGGGGAGGAATAAGGTCAGGGGCAGCAGCTGCTGGAAGATTTGATGTGAGTACTGTGAAATGGGCTAGCAAGAAATGAATGAGAATTGTGTAACTGGGAAGAAAGGGGAATTTACTGGTTGCGTGTTGGTCGTACTGAGCAGGTGACAGTCTTTCTTCTGGCCACTGAAAGCAGAAGGACCAGAGGGGGAGCAACTGGAGGTGTTGCTTTCTGTCTTGCAAGGACCTCTGCTGTAGCAGCAGCCTCCCATGTGATACTGAAGTTTTCTTGGCCAGCTCCTAACTTTAGTTGAAATGCTTCAAACCCTTCAGGTTGTTGGGACTGTCAGAGACCCAAGTGCTGTTCCCTGGGCATCTTCACTCAGGAAACCATTCC